CCCTTCCCAAAATTACTTCAACCGAAGGTTTCCAGATGGATATGCGGAGCAAAGAAGGCTAACAAAGAAACAAAACGACCCCCATTCCAAAGGGGTGGACCCGGTCATCAGGTTCTATTTGCATGTTTTCTAAACAAAAACAAGGCTTTGTTTTTGGTCCCCTCTATAAAGCCTGGAACTCAACACCATTCCTGACATATTGAATTCAAAAAGCTTCCTGGATGGGAAGAGAAACATCTTCAAACTTGGAAACAAAGTCCAGTGGATTGTTGTTGTTTTTTTATGACCTGGATGACTGAAAATCTTATCAGAATATTGTAGAACAGACCTTTTTTTTCCTTCACCAAGTAGAACACAATATTTACTTCTGGTCAACAGTCTAGTGTTTAAAGGAAAGAAGAGAATGAAGCGAACGCTTCCCGTTTTTTTACCTGCCCACCCTTACTGCCTGCAGGACGGAGATGAAGCTCTGGTCCGTTTGCCTCCTTACTTCTGTCAACTCCATGTTGACCTGGATGACCTTCCGCCAACTCCTGGCCTGAAAATAAGAAAAGTTTCCCATCAAGCCCAGAATGTCCGCAGAAGATGAGCAAAGCCTGTAGGAGAGGCTGCTGCTGCAAACTTCTCATATAATGAAGAAATCAGGAAAAAAACAATGTTTGAAAACCACTTAATGAGCAGTTTAGTTTTAAACCCAATTAAACATTTATCGGTTTGAAGATAAACTACAGACACGCGAACCTGGAAGCAGAAGCTGGCCTTTTCCTTCCCTTTAGAAACTGGAGGAAGCTGAAGGAAGTCCCCACAGACGATCAGCTGGATGCCTCCAAACGGCTCCGTGGATCTCCTCACCGACCTGTTCCAGAAAGAGAAAGGACTCGTTCATCACAGACATCACTAGCGAGTTGAATTATATATCAGAGATCTGATTGTTCCTTATGTTCCTAACAGAGCACTTCGCTCTCAATCTGCAGGTTTACTAGTGGTTCCTAGAGTTTCTAAAAGTAGAATGGGAGGCAGATCTTTTAGTTCTCAGGCTCCTCTCCTGTGGAACCAACTACCAGTTTTAGTCCGTGAGGCAGACACCCTGTCTACTTTTAAGACTAATGTTAAAACTTCCCTTTTTGACAAAGCTTATAGTTAGAGTGGCTTATGTTACTCTGAGCTACCTCTATAGTTATGCTGCTATAGGCTTAGGCTACTGGAGGACATCAGGGTCTAATTTTCTCACTCTATAGAGTTCTACTGTTCTCCTTTCAGCTTTTAACTTTTTGTTCTCCCTCTATTTTCTTCATAGAAGGTACACCTGGTCTGGCGTTCTGTTAACTGTGGCATCATCCAGGGAAGACA